AGTTTTGTGAGGGGTTATGGCACAGATTAAGTTACCTTGATCAAAGAGCTCAAAAAAAAAAAAAATCAGCATATTAATTTGTAATTTTGCCACAGATGGAAATGCACTCCAGGAGAGGCAATCTGTCACTCCATATGCACCAGTGAAATCAGTGTTAGCAGCTCACCCAGGCTGGGACAGGGGCATTTATGCAAGTCCTTGGGTGGAAGCCATCCGGTAAGGTCTGGGTAAGCTGAGTGCTCATATCAGAAATGAATAGGTTGAAAATATTTTGCTGCTGTCTTCCTGAATATGCAAATATTATCTGGAAAAAAAAGCCTCCCTGATGGGGCTCAGACAACCTTCAGCAATGCTCTTGTGCTTCATGGCATGTCAGCCTGGAGGTGGCACCTGAAAAAACATCACCAGGAAGATTTTGGGGTATCTTTGTGTCTCTTTTTCTTTTAAATGAATTCCTTCCTATACCCCTACAAGACATTCCTGGATGAACATGGTGTATCCAGAAGATACAGATTATCAGAGTATTGAGAGAAGACAATTTTTTGCACTGTGTATGTTGCCTATGTGGTATATAGTCCATCTTCTGTGTTGGTGTTTATACATTTATATAAAAATACATCATGCAACTCTACTTAATGAACTCACACTCTTTAGCATGGACACTTCTGAAGAAATAAACTAAATGACGATTGTATATTTTGCTCTTTTCCACAAGGAACTGAAAAAGTTCTGAGGATGCAAGCAGACAACAGCCAAATAAACTGAATGAACATAAAGATCAGTGTAGTCTGACAGCAACTCCTCTGTTAGTGCTGTGTTAACTTACTTATCAACGAGCTCTTTTCATCATCTGCACCCAATGCTCCATCCATTGCTTATCCCCAGACTTCATCTCAATTTACTGAAAGTTTAAGGGTACAAAAATCGTGGAATCAGGCTTCATGAAACTGAAACTTCCCAAATGTTTGATTTCTAACTGGCCACGGATGTCCACCCGCCTGGCAGGGTAAGACCCACAAAGCCAAGGAAACACATTGCCCTTGGATTTAATTTTAAAACTCAGTTTTGAACTGAAAGGTAAACCTCACACTAGTGAGCTCACTTCATTATTTTTAAACATTTTTAAAGTATTTTAGCAGCAACCAAAGACCACAGATTAAATAGATAAGAAAAAGAGAGGGTGCTTCACACATGCCAGTCACACGCAGCATGCTCCTCGAGAGCCAGGACCAAAACTGAATGCAGCAAAGCAAACAAAAAGGACTTCTCTGTCTCATTAGTGATATCCTTAATGGCAGAGATGCCAACTTCCCACTCAGAACAAGGCAGAGATGGTGCTTGGATGCATTTTTCTGACACCAGATACCTGCTGGGGTTGCCACACTGGGGGGTACACAGCGTTCCCAACCCTGTGGCACTGATGTGGGCAGCCAGGTCATCATGAGGGACGGGGGGCAGCCAGGTCATCGTGAGGGACGGGGGCTCATTGACTGAATCTGTTCTTCGGTCGGATTTCCAAAACATCTTCCCACCCTGTTGCCACTTATAATAGCTCACTTGTTATCCTACCATGGCGGGCTGCATACTTCATCTCCCAGCACAAACCACACAATGGGAAGCGTCTTTGCTGGAGAGTGTGGCCTTTGGTGAGATATGAGACCAGGGGGCTCAGGCAGGACTTTGTAAAATGCTTTATCAACCTTTCACAGCCCCAGCCAGTGAGGCTGCAGTGGGGTATGCCCCAAGACTGCTTACACTAATCACACACCCCCCTTCACAAGCAGATGCCAAAGGCAGTAATTTATATCATGACAGTTCCCCTTCTACAGAAGAGAGGAAGAAGCAACCATGTCTGTTCTTTAAAGATATGCTGCCTTTTAGCTAAGCACAAACTGCTCCATTGCCTGGATTTTTCATAGTGCTAGAGTTTTCAATACCAGCACTGCAATTTATCCAGGTCATGCTGAGATCTCTTTTCCTAGGCACTCACTCCTGAAGTGCTCCTAGATAGTTCACTGCAGTGGAATTTCCCATCAGGGAACCTTTATATTTTACTGCCTGTTTTATTTCTCATAACTGCCTCAGAAATGGCAAATTGTAGTTTTCTTCCTCAAGCTAGCGGTATCCTCAGACTGGCCCTGGCTGAACACCCCTTCTCATGAACTCTCCTCTGCCTGTCCTAGGTATTTATCTAGATTTCCCAAAATTATCTAAAACTTCCGCAGATTGACCAGTTTTGTGTTGATAAAAGCATCATATGAAACCTGCGAGTCAGACATGATACCAGGGATATCCAGGCTTATGGAAATGGGGGAAAACACAAAATTATTAGCAACAAAACAACTGTGAAATGTTCCAACACATCATGACCAGGTGCTCTTGTGGATTTTGTTGGTTAATGCCACAGCCCATGAGCTCCCTGGGCACCCCACAGGCACACGTAGCTGAGGCATATGAGAACACTGACGGGTGTGCAGCTCCAGTTGACTCAGACCGGCTCAGACCTCCCTCATGCAGACTGGCAGTGACCTACCCAGGGAGCACCCACGCCTGCCCAAATGCAAGCCTGCATGAACATCAGGTTGCAAACAGGTTCAGGGACAGGCTTCTTCCAACCTGTCATCCCTCGATCTTCCTTCAGGAGACCCAGACCTGCTAGCTGAACCACAAACACCACTCAGGAAACACAAGGCTGAGCACTTCTGACTCCAGCAGAAGAAAACAGCAGAGCAAATAGAGAAAGGCCATGGATAACTTCAGAAAGATGCTACTGCCTTCCAAATGCTGGCAACCCCAGGTCACCATAGGATGTGATGCTGTGCAGTACGGACCAGAATACCAAGCAGCACATCCATAGGATACGCTATTGCTCTGGCAGAGTGACAGAGCCACACAGCAACTTTAATCTACCAGATTCATCCCTAACGCAGCATCTACTGCCTGTGAGCACACCCAAGGCATTACAGTCAGCTGTTCTGATTTATTGTTGTTCCTCATGGCTGCTGGGCTTGATTTGCTCAGGCTCAAGCTTAAAATTATAGTTATGCAAAACTATATCTGATTTCCCATCCTTCATTTAACTTCCCCTGTTAAAGCAACTCTACGGTACAGTGAATCCCACCTGTTTCACCTCCTTCCCTGACAACGCAGTTTCCAGTGGGAGACAAGCAGGTCTGAAGCAGCAGCACAGACTCATCGATCAACAGTGAGCAGGAGGGATTCCTCTCCCATCAGGATTGCACTGGTGTAGCCAGGGGGTTGTGAGTCACTAGCTCCTGCCCACTGGACAGCAGGACAGACTGTAGCAGAGACAGATGCAGGATCACTGGAGATGAAGGCAGCACGTAAGCATGTACCCCATGGCAACTTCCCTCTGTCCCCTGGCACGACCCAGCCTGCAAGGCACATCCCTGCTCTCCTGGCTTGCACCCCAAACTGGGGGGAAGGGCTGAGGGTAGTGCCATAACCAAGCTGGGAAAACCTTGAGCAAGTCAAATCCCCAGACAAGGAGCAGTGAGACCCCAAGGGCTGCTCTCCTCCACCCTGAGCAGACTACCAAAAAAATTAAAAAATAAAATAAAATAAATAAATAAATTTACAAATACTGGAGCAGGGTGCCACTCTGGTGACAGAGCAGGAAGTGCAGCCTCCAACACACCAGTAGCCTGAAGTGAGATCAGAAAAATGGCTTTTTTTCCTAAACACAGAGGCTCCAGTGCTTTTGGCACTGGGAGCTGTGGGATTTTACGCCGAGCAGACACACGGGCCGCTGCCGGCAGAGGTCAGGTCCGACACGCCACCGCGCACACGCAGAAACACCCACGGGCCGAGTCGAGCTCCGTTGTTGGCCCTGGGGACAAGGTCCCTGCAGCGGGGACGCAGGAGTGTGGCCCAGGCAGGTAGGCAGCAGGCAGACAGCTCCCTGAAGGACGCGTGGGACAAGGTACGTGGGGTTTCACGTTTGCACGTAGCAGACAGACACGCAGATCTTTTCTTACGCAGCGTCACGGAAGAGGCAGCTGGCGGCTGAACCATCCCGGTGCTCCAGTGCCGAGCACAACGCTTCCTGGGACAGCTCAAGGGCAGGTCTGGGTTACTCCAGTCTTGTAAACTCTGCATGCTGCTTTGAGGCTTTTCTCCCTCCCAAAACACTAAGACACCCTGAAAGATCTGAGTATCAGAAAAGCGAGAATAAAGAACATTTTAGCAAGAGTTCCCAGAGTTTAAATTTCTTATAGTATTAAGAATAGTTCAGGAAGGCAGGCAGCTTCTTCATGGGAAAAATCTGCTTTACTTTACACATGCCACACTTCTTTTATTTTTTTTATTTTTACTAGTATCGTGTGACAAATCCTGCTAACACGGGAATTATAAGGTTAGGAGTTAATGTAAAGCCGAGCCCCGTGGAAGCAGGATGGAGGCAGCACGGGCAGAGCTGCCAGCGCAGGCGCCCATGGGCTTGGCAGCAGCAGCAGCACCCAGCATGGGGAGGGGAATGGGCCAGGGCCAGAAACTCCCTTAAACATTAACACAGAGTTGTGGGATATTCCAGAAGTAACTTCTGATAAAATATTGGGGAAATACTGGTGATAAAAAAGTTTTTTATGTTTAAAAAAAAATAATCATAAAACCTGCATTTTGAGCTCTTAAAAGTGCCCTAAATTTTCACTGTCCATTATCATTATTATTATCATTATTACTACAGTGAGGAACAGACAGTGCCTAAATTTTCATGCAACCCCTGTTTGTGCAGGGGTTTTTTTAACCTAACATGGAAATGTGACTATTTGTGTACAAAGTACACTCCTACAGCTAGTTTGCTGAGGACAATGCCCTGCAGTAGCTGTGCCCACAGCACAGGGAGCCATGCCCCGGGCTGCCTGTGCAGGTACAACATCTCGGCCAACCTACTGAAACTGCTCCTCCCTGAGCCCAACACCTTCATCAGCCACCCACCAAAGGGGTGCCAGCGCCTAACGAGCCCCATCCCTTCCCAGAGCAGCTCAGCCTCCGGGATGGCTCTGCTGGAGACTGGAAAACACTTGCACGGCTCAGTCCTCGGCAGCATGAATCCCGACCTCGCCAGCGAGAGGCAAACAGCTTCCTTCAGCGTGGAAAAGCTGACGGCCCAGCTGGACGGCGGTGTGGAGCAAACCCGGATCCGGCGGGCAGTGGGTGAGTGAGGCTCGTGAGGTCGCTGGCTGCAGGCTGGTACAGGCTGTGCCAACATCCCCGCTGTTTCTGCTCCCCCTTGGCAGCACGGTGGGTTTTGTATTCCCAGGTATTTGCTTATTGCCCATCTCTTAAAAAAGTAGGAGCGTGGAGTTGGAGTCCCCTGATAGTGTAAATCAAGATTACTCCTCCACAGCCACT